TGTTTTATTTATATAAGTTATATAATATTATTTATATATTATTGCTAAATTAATTTTAATAATTTAATTTATCAATTAATTACTAAATTTTTCTGTGAGTGAATACAAAAATAATAAATTTTTGTACGAATTTTTTTGAATAATAAATCAAAAATGAATTTACTCGAAATGTTAAGATTTAACAGGCGGCACTACTAACAGCATGGAAGTTAGTAACAATCAAAATGGCTGCTACCAACTCGAATATATCCAGTGATAGTCCAACTAAGAAAGAAGACGAATTCAATGAATTTTATTCCGAAGTATGTAAATTCAGAATGATGTAATAACGTTAGAATATTCACCTGTGTAAAAATCAATTTTTAATATAATTCTTGATTATATAACTGTAAATACTTTTACTTTATTTTAAGGGTTAACAAACGTCACTATGTATGCTTTAAACAATAATAATAAATCGTATTTAAAATACAATATATTATATAGTTTTTCGTTATTTAAAAACTAATACCTGTCATTTTTTAAAATATTATAAAGTGAATTGCTTTTTCAATAAACTTTCGAGTTATAAATAAGCCTAACCTGTACGAATGTATTCGCGCCCAAACAAATAGATATTTTATGAGCTGTAAAAAATTCTCTTTCTTCTAGGTAAAAGAAATAGAAAAAAGAGACTCTGTCTTAACTCCTAAACAACAAATCGACAGATTATTACGACCTGGATCGTCTTATTTTAATTTAAATCCTTTTGAAGTATTACAAATTGATCCATCCACTTCTATAGATGAAATCAAAAAAAAATATCGACGTGTAAGTTAATTTTTTTTTTATTATAATGTATAAAATATAAATTTAAGAATATATATTAATTATTATAATATATTTCTATTTTATAGATGTCAATTCTTGTACATCCTGATAAAAATCAAGATGATGCAGAACGTGCACAACAAGCATTTGAAAGTATATATCAATTTTTATTTGATAGAATGATAAATGTTCAATTTATAAGTATTATTTGTTTGATTATAGTTGTTAACAAAGCATGGAAAACATTGGAAAATGAAGAAACTAGAGCTAAATGCATGGACGTTATTGAAGAAGCAAAAGCTAGAACTGATCATATGGTATAAATAATGAATCTTTTTTATTTAAAAAATATATATGTGTAATAAATATAATGGTTGTAAATTTATTAGATTGCAGAAAAGAAGAAGAAAATGAAAAAAGAAGGAAAAACAGAAAGTGCAAATATACTTGAAGAAGAAACAGAAGAAGGTTACAAGCATGCAGTTTGGGTTATGACAATGAAACTCTTTGCTGATATGGAAAGAAGAAGGTTAATTTAAATAATAATAATAATAATAATAATTCAAAAATTTACAAAATTGATCCAATTATTATAATTAATTTATTTTTTCCTTTTTTTTTTTATAGAAGAGAATTAGCAACTAGAGATGCAGAACAACGTAAAAGGAAACGAGAAGAAGAATTATCTGCAGAAGCCCAAGCTGCATTAGAACGTGAGTGGCAAAAAAATTTTGAAGAATCTCGACAATCAAGAGTTGATAGTTGGAAAGCTTTTCAATCTGGTGCTAATGCCACAAAACAAAAAAAAGCAAAAAAATTAAAAGCTTTTAGGCCTCCTAAAACGAAAGCTGAATCACGATAATTATATAATTGTTCCTGATGCCTGACATAGATTCTTTCATTTGATATATTTCATATTTCTTGCAAAAAAAAAAAAAAAGTATAGTTTAAATAGCATGTTCTCACTATGTGATATCAGATTTCTGAATTTATTAAAACTAATTGGAATTGTTCTTGTTTAAAATTTATTTGTTAATTAAAAATTTACGATTTAAATCTAGTTAAATATACATCAAAATCAGGTATCAAAGTAGAGAATTAGTTGTAAACAGAATGAATACATTGAGCAGCAAAGTGTGAGTATGGTTAATGTATGTATCTCAAGAATAATTTGTATGTTTGTTGAATGTATATGTATGTATGAACGTATATAGTTGTGATATACTTACATGGCCCGAGTAAGTTCAACTTTAATATAATACCTTAACCTGATCTAATTATTGCATAAAACTTAAGATTATATACATTTGTATTATAAATTGTTGGATAACAAATGTCAATTTTATGATATACATGTACCTCATATTTTTATCTGAAATATACAATGACATGATACAATACTTTGAAAGAGAAAAATATTCAAGTTGTCAAATTTGTCAAATGAAATTTAAATTGATATTTATAAAATTTTTATATGTTTCTCAAATTATTATTGAGAACATTTGTATATACTGAAGCAATAATTCAAATAATTCAATGAATATTGTTATATTTTAATGCTACAAAATGATTTGAAGCACAATATAGTACAAAGGTAAAGTATAAATTTTCTTTTATTGAACATAACCTCTGGTAATATATTATTAAAAAGTTCTATTTTATATAACGATATTACGAATGCACAACATAATGTTACATAAAAATTGTGTGATATAATCATTATATCGTTCTAAAAAAAAAATATTTCATTTATATTTTATACATACGTAATACGAATGAAGTAAAATGTTCTTCATACTTGTTTTCTTTATTGTTTCATTTTTAACAAATAATTTGTTTCTACAATCAAATTTAACAACTAAATTTTTTTCACTACTGACAATACACTAATCATATTGACAATTGAATCTTTTTAATCGCTTCTTCTCGCTGTTTCCCGATCGTTTCAAATACACTACGAGTAACAATGGACCATCTATGTATGAAACATTTTGATGTATATTTCATAAAAATCAAGAGATATAAACCAATTATGCTTGTTTGATTTAAAAACTCATATAAACAAGATGATATATATATAATACGTTTATATATTACGTTTCATTGTCATGAAAATAACTTAACGGGCCATGTAGTTATAACTTCCGGTTTTCAATATTCGCATAATGAATGTTATATCTTAACGTACACTTGGTCCAATCGTAATTTATAAGATTATTGTAAAGAGAAAATTTCTAAAATGTAAGTCATTGCACTTTTCATTGCAAGTTACTTTGAATAGTCTTATTAACATATGAAAGTAAATGTCGTACAAGTGCAATCGTGAGAATAAATGAATGAAAGGATGTGTATATAAAAAATGAAATTTTTATTAAAGATATAAAATCGAACTAATCGTAACGCGATATAATTTTTATTTTTTATTTTTTTTTTTCATAAAATGAGATTTTCTACGATGCCATAAATTTAAATAATTTCGAATTATATAAAATTTATATCAGCTAATATATTTGATTTAAAAATACCAACTAGATATTAAATTAAAATTATTCTTGAAAAATATCACGTTTATTTATAATATATTTATAATAATGAATATAATGGAAGAAATATCAAGAAATTCATGATTTTTATTTATGTACAAAAATGTTAATAAGTTATAATTATTGGATGAAATTATAATGAATAAGTTATGATTATTTAAAAAATTAATTTTATTTTTGTTTCAATTGATTTTAATTCATTCACTCGTAAGTGTTAATTATAAATGAATATATCATAGTATTATTTGATATGATAAAAAATTCATTTTGTAAAATATAAGTCATTAATGATAATTTTTATTTTTTATTAATTCGATAATTTTTTATCAATGTATAATTCGTCTTGTATATTATAACGTCCATGAGATATAAAATGTAAATACATTACATATCGAGTATTCATAATTTAATAATTTCGCTCAGGGTGTATGAAGAACATGCTAACATTTATGTGACTGAATTAATTCGATATAAAAATTTTTTCTAGAATTATATAAAATTAAAATAATTAAATATAAAAATACAATAGAATAATATGATATGTAAAAAAATATAAAAATTGTAGGAAAATTAAGCAACTCATTTCAATTTCTTTGTTTACATAAATGTATAAATTTTTTATACACTCTATATAATTAGTAAAAAATGAAGAATGAAGACTTTACTTTATATACACATGATTGTGTTTTATAAATAATGTTTTGTAAGTAAATAATCTCAATAACATTTTTTAATTTTATTCAAATTGTGTTAATAATATTAAATATAATAATAATATAAATATATAAATATAATAATTATAATTATCATATGGTCTTTTTTTTACTTTGTACATGCATATTGAATAATTTAATATTTTGTTTTTTTTTTAATAATAAAAAAATATTACAATTTTGTAGCCATGTATTTCAAAGCTGTTGCACTAGCAATGACTTACGATCAAATGCATCTTACGTGACTGTACACTTCCATCCGGAGTGTGAACGTGAACCGCATATAGAAATATATTAGCCAAAACTATACATAAAGAGAAATATATCTTTTATTTATTTAATTTAACAAAAATATCTATTTATTTTATCTTTATCAACAATATTAATTTTCTTTTTAAAATTCAAAATTTGTTGTAGATATGTTACTATAATTTTTAATATATTATATAATTATATGTATCATAAATATTTGATGTTAACTTTATAATAATTTTAAAATTTATCGAAACAATTTTATAAAATTATTTTTTTATATTTATTTACAGCAAATTTATTGAAAAATTTAATTATTCATATTATGTAAACAAATACATTTTAAATGCTTTATTAGAATCAAACAATTATTTATATTTCACTAAAAAAAAAAAAATTGTTTTGAAAATATATTTTTAAAACTATAATCGAAATTAAAAAATAATAAAATATAATGTCAAATAGATTCGTTAGTACACTTGCAAACATCTTAAATAAACCGAACAAGAAGTACTCAATCAAAGATATTTCATTTAACGAACTTTCTTCAAACATTAGCGTTTTCTATTTAAACATTTACAGTCATTTAAGTTTTATATATTTTCATAAAGATTGTTAATATATTTTAATAAAAAAAATAATACTTTTGAATTAGGTTATAATAATATATATTTATGAAAAATGAATTTTCAAAATAATTGTTATATGTAAAATAAAATTTATAATAAATAAAGTGGTATTAAGTATGCAATACTAGGATTCAGAATAGGTGAAAGTAAAAGACAATCTTCATAGAGGAAATTATGTTAATAATACTTTCATCGTATAAACAAATATTCTATTTATTATTTTTTTTTTCTCTTTTCAAATTCGAATCATATAACATATTGCGTTATTAACATTACAGAAATAATATAAGATTTATCACAATTTCGTATATTGAAGATCGCAATACTCAAAAAGATTACGATTGTTCCAAAAGAGTTCTATATTCGAGCAATCGATTTGAGTACATATATATAAAAAGCAAGTTTTTACCGTTGCATGTGTGCATAGATGATGAAATGTGTTCGTGTAACGTTTACGCACGACTAGCCAGGATAAATATCGATGTATAAGAATCGATACACGAATGAAAGGAAACCGTTCTTCTTTGTAGCACCGCTCACACACACACTGATCAAAGAAATATTATTTTTGAACATATAGTCGGATAGAAGGACGTGTTCTTACAACTGTTTCACGAATGGTACGTAAATGTCTCCGTTCGTAGACCGTTACACAGATGGAAATCACATGTCGATATATGTCCCCAACGCAGGTAAACGGAAATGCGTCTGAACGTGAGTCAAACGTATCGGTGTAGCACGAAGCACACTAACCTATCCTTTTACAAGCAAAGTATATATCAACGTCTGCACGTTGCATTGGCGAAAAGGGAAAAGTCCTCGCGTGTATTTTTTTCTAATAAGCCAAAGAAAGCAAGTACATACACAGATATGGTAAACATTCAATGTCCATTGAAATGTATACGTGCAAGAAAATATGCAAATGAAAGGAACACCATCTACCTGTGCATACGCGAAAGACACATGTGTCATCACGCAACACAAGCGCGACTGGTGTCAACTTAGCGTACTTCTATGTATGTATATACAACCGCGTGGAACCTGTTCGTACACAATATAGTTAGAGATAAATATCCGTATCTATACGTACATATCGCGCCGTAGTATTAGTGGAAAATTTATATGTATGAGTGTGACACGACGACCGAAAGATAGCGGTGTATACAGTGGTTAATAGCATCTCTACGACTACTTTGACAGTGTTGAACGTGCAGGTAGAAGAAACGCGTTTCGTCCGCGGCAAACGAGCATTTACGAACAACGACGGCCCGGTATACACAAGTAAAAGAAAAATGATGGTGTGCGTGGCTGTGCACAGGTAGAAGGAACAGCGGCAACAGAGGCAGAGGTGCGGCGTGACCGCTTCTCGCTGCGACACTACACGAGACTGCAGTGAGTTGGTCGCTGCCGTGCGTCGCTCTTCACTGGTTTTCGATCGACACGAACGATCGACTGCTCTGGGCCAGCCGTAGATCGTAGAAAATCGATGTAGACTCGCAACCTGTTACGCTACCGGCACCGATCTTGCATACATCGTTCTCAACACGCACCATTCTTGTGGCGATATTAGCCTTGACGGGCGCCAGCTAACCTGGACACATACTTAACTTGTACAGCTAGCGCGCATTCACACGTGGATCGTACTGAGTGCGCGGCATCGATACGTGAATTCGAATCGAGGAAAGTATCCTTAACGGTCGGATGATAGGAGAAAAGTGGCGTCGATATGTGACCTGTGATCGTGTGTCAACAGTGTGCTGGCCAGCGCAGCACCATGTCGACGATGGACGTGTTTCGCATCGCGCAACAGGGATCGCCGACTGCTGAAGAGGAACAAGGGTAACGTTTATCAAAAGTGTTATTTTGCGATTTAGGATTAATCTAATCCTTTGCTTTCGTGCAAAAAAAGGATAATCTTTCTATTTCGTGAGAAGAGTTCGAACGAAGTTACGTGATTGGTCAATACGAGTGATTGTTCTGGAAGATCCAACAAGAATGTTTTTGTTCAAGTTTCAGTTACGTATTGCTCGACTCAGAATACATTTTTAAAAGTGATCGTTTCGAAGAGAGGGGAGGTATATATTGATAGAAATCGTCGTGTTGGAATGTCATTTAGTTAAGTGTTTCTGTGAAAGATTTGACAGACATTTTAAATTTTTAACTAAAATTTATATACCGAAAGAGTATTTTTCATTTCTGTTGAGTAGAATGATCAAATCCCTAAGAGATTGACACTTGGACGAATGTTATCAGAAACGAATCGTTCTTTATTTATTTGGCTTTATATATCTCTATGACCGTTTACAGTTTATCAAAAGGATTTGCGTTATACTTTCTACGCTGCTCGAGGCAATAAACCTCGACGAATACGAACCAGCAGAACGACTGTCGAATACTGAATCGTCGGAAATGAGACGTTCGCGAGAAACCTGTTTTAATACTATTCAGAATTTCTATATCAACCAAGCAAATTAAAATACGGTAAATCGTGGCTCTGTCTCATCTCTTGGAACATTTTTTTAGAATATTTTAAATGATTTTATTATGAGTAATAATTTTTTACAATTTTAAGAATCGATAAAATATTTCTTTGAATAAATATTGAATTTTTTGGTAAATATTTTTGGTTAATTACAAAACAAGTTTTAAGATTGTGTCTTGTACTGAAATAGTAAACTATAGTAAAATATATAATATTTTTGATATCAATTATTAGTTAGGTTAGGTGTATATGCATTCGACTAATTCTTTTGAAAATTAAATGATATCTTCAATTATCTACAATTTCGTGAATCTTATTTTGAATCGTATCTTCCGTTCTGCATATGAATTATATCCTTTATGATATTTCATAAAATCTCCAAGACGAAGTAATTGCATTTTTTTTATTATCTGAACCTTTCTGGCGCCAACGAGCGTATAATTAGACAAATGTTCAGACAACATGCGTATACCTTTTAATGTTATCTTACCGTATAATTTACTTGATGTTGCTACCATAATTGTTCACATGCTTTAAATGTTCCTTTCTATTCCATCTTATTTTTCACGAACTAATATATCTCGTTCCCTAAACGATATAAGATAAATTCAATTTACAATGGACCATTAGACAACGAATACGATTCATAGCACGAACTTGAAAGAACGATTCAACGGTGTACACATTCGGGCCCTAATGATTCAATTTAAATCGAGCTCGTGATCATCGATTCTACAGGTGGCTATCGGCGAATAGAAAATACGAAAAGCTTCCATATAAAGGTAGCACCACGATATTAGTCACGTTTCTCGACGGTCTCTCTCCTTCCTCTCTCTCTCTCAATGTCAATGACTGCTCCCTCAGGGCTAGCTGTGACCCCCCGTGCGAACGAGAGTCTCGTCTTTCTGTATGTCGTAGCATATAGCAGGAGTCAAGTGGAATGGCGCTTTCACACGAAGCCATAAAGAAGTCGTGATTATTTATATTATCTATATATGTATACGTATTGTGTCTGAAACGATGGTACAAATTTCTAAATGAAATAGGTATAAAAATAGATAGTATTTTTAACTCTGCTGTTTCGTTTGATCCAATTTCATCCATTATGCAAGAAACTGTTAAGATATTTGTTTTTGATAAAATTTATTATTTTCCTTATTATATTTTAAATATCAACTTACATAAAACTTTCTAATAAGACTTGTTCTAAGATTTTTGAGAAATAAATAATGAATCGTATTGTTATAGCATCAATAATGTAATTTTATAGTTTTATTTTTACAAATTAATTTAACAGTTAATAATTTAATTGTTTGTATATAGACTTTCAATCATATATACAAAATTGATGATGCATCAAAATAAATATATCAATGTAATATAATTCTTTATTTTTGATTATAAAATTGTTTTATCTTGATTACTTTTCAACTATTAAAGAAATATATATATATTAATATAGTAAAATATAGAAAAAAGTTTAAAAATTTTGTTTGTAAAGTAATTACCAAGTTAGTATAGAACAAAATCATAAAATACTATCCTCTCGTAAGAATTGTGAACAATTGTGAGATTCGTTTCGGGTCGAACGAAATAATATTAGAGATAATCATATTTCCCGCGGTAACTTCGGCGCGCGAATTCGAATCTAGTTTAAATTTAAAAAAGGATTTTCCTGAAATTTTTTTTTGAATAGCATGAAACATTCGATGAAATTGACAATTTTCGAAAGAAATTTCCTACGAGTTTTCATCAAGAATTTCTGCACAACTTATCAACTTATAACTACAAGGAGATATCATCGAAACCAGTTCGGGTTCCATTACGACTTTCACTGAAAATTATCTCTACGTAAATATCTGGTCGATAAACGTCTTTTAACAGCCATAGGTAATCCAATAACTTTTTAGTAGTAAATTTATCTTTGGTTTTTCTTAACGATTTAATATTAACTCTATAATAATCGATTGAATTTATACCGCTATTTATCAATTCGATTATTATTTACATTTTTGCGCGCGGAGAGATCGAAGTAATACTCTCTCGGAGAAACGAACCTTAAACCTTAAGGTTGACTAACGGGACTTCCGGCGTCCGTACGTACTATACTGCATACAGTGATTGCCATTGCAATTCCTGTGATCCGTAATATACCGTATTTGCCGGAATGTTGATAGAAAATTTGAACTTGATAAAGAATTAGAAATATATGCCGTCGTATTTCCTTTCGAATCTCTCCCCTATAACACAATCGATAGAAATTAACCTCTATATTACTTTCTTTTACATACTATACCTCGATATTTGATCTTTTTCTTTTAATTTTTAATATATTCATATATTATTCGTACAGGTTAATTGTATAATTCTAGAATTTTTGCGCGATTTACAATTTGAAAATCTCTAAGTAAGCGTCTTCTTTTGGCATTTTTTTTTTTTTAATTTTTTAAAACATGTTAAAATATTTAAAGTAATTATTAAAATGACACTTATTTCACAAACGTAATTAACATTCATATGCATGATCCAGTTCCCTTATACTTCTTCATTGAAACGTCAAATAATGATAAATCGTGGATACATGTTAATCGATTGTAGTCATTTAGAAATATGTAATTATAAATCTAATAAATTGATGGCAAGTGAAACTATCCTGAACATATCGAACGAAAATATCAAATATAGCGAAGAATATTATCCTAGTTAATTTTTTATTTTCTCTGAGAAATACAATTCTATCTTTAACGAAAAAAAGTATATTTCCGAGATTCTAGGCAGAAAATTTCAATTAAATTGTAGTAATTGTCAAACGAAGAAATCATCGATTCAACGCTTTCATATTTTCAGGAGACTGGGTCAGAATAAGAAAAATTGGATGGAACAGTAAGGAACGTGATGCACACGTTTTATCATGCGTATAATAATTAATTAAATTAACGACTTAGGGAAAGCCATTGTTCTCTCTTGCATGAAGTTTAAATGACAGTGCGTAATCACGAAGGGTAGACACGCTTCTCCGCGTTTCCGCTCCACTTTCCGCTTTAATATATTAAAAATTGTCATCGACTAATATGCATATATTTTTCATTCGAAGAGATCCATCCTTTGCAATCCATCTTTTAATTCGAAAATTTCTATGCATCCCATTTTTATTATTAGACAAAATATTCCCAATGCGATCGATTAGGAATACGCAAAAGGAAATCTGAAAATAATTTAATTCGTAAGAATAATGAAAACTCGAGATATTCGAAATTCCACGCAAATTCTTTTTACGTTGTAGAAATTTAGAAACGGTTTGATTTATTCTGAGAGAGAATAAAAATGGGAGGATTAAAACGTTTGAAAATTCAGATAACTAAGGAGGACAAGGATGATTCGCATTTATAAAACTCCGCGTAACAAGTTCGTAATGCAAGAACGGATAACTGGATACTCGAGAAGGTGCGCCATTTATGGGGAATGGCTGGAGGTCCACTCTTCCTGGTCGTATCTGTAAATGGTATTGCCATGATTAGAGGCGCGCTTGTGCAATAGAACTTTACCTAAACGAGAATCATTGCCATTAGTATCCCAGTGTGTTTGCATGCCAAACGGTCTGACCTGTCGTCTCAGATATTTCGTCGATAATATTCTCGAACTTTTACCGTTTCATTAAGGGGCAAGCTTAAGTTCTTATAACGATGCACGGGTATTTCATGAATATTAACCTTGGTGAAAATTAGTTTCCTCGAAGTCGTTAACTCTTTTCCGTTATATCCGTTTGCATATTTTCGAGTAACTGTTAAATTTGTGTTAGATTAATTTCTCACGTTGTGTTAAGTTTATTATATTATGCATTAAAGATTTATGCGCAAACACGTTTGATAACAACTCTCGAGAGTTTTACTCTCAAATGTGTTACGCAGTAATGAAATATTAAGCTTCGTAGATAAAAGAAAAAACATGTTGTAGGCTTGATCCACCAGAAAGACAACTTTGTTCTTGAAAGATAAGATAGGCGATTTCATCAACTTTCTAATGGAAACCAATCTGCATATTCAAGAAAATATTGTGACACGATCAACCAGACTTTTCTTTATATATCATATCATAAATAAATGCGATAATTAAGCAATTGTAAAAGGAACAAAAAATTATTCTGATATTTATTGATTATATATATATATATATTATTTTTTTTTATTCAATTATAAAAATGGAGAAAAATTGGAGAAAGGTTTACACACAAGTTTTACGCCCCTCGATATAAATTATCCAGACGTAAATAGGAACGGATATACAATTACGTGATCTCGATCACCGATTAGACCTAGCTGACATCGTTACACGTGTTAACGAAGTTACTTTTTAATTGGCGTGATTAATACTGTTTTATATTGATCATATATAGGAATAATGTTAAATTGATGTATCACTTGGAATAATTGGTGAGATGCAAAGCTATGTGTCATTGTATATAAATCTGCGGATACTTGACAGCACATGAACATTAATTCTAATGCGTGAAATCAAGCAATATTTTACTTCAGATCTTAAAGGAGAGAACCGTTAAATAATAAACTTTTCGAAGGAAAAAAATGTTGTAAAATTATAGTAATAAAATTTGCTAAGAATTTTTCAGAAAGAATGCTTGCATGGAAGGTTAAAAAAGGAAGGGAATCATTGATGGAAAAATAAAATATTGTGTTGTAAAATGACAATAAAAGAAAAAGAAAAAAAAAATTCATTGAGAATAAATATTTCATAAAATTGTAGAAATTCTATATAATATTTTATCTAAAATTTCTTAAAATCATTTTAAAAAGCTATTATCTTGCGAATTGCAGCGTCATTATTTTGATCATCGATGAAGCGGTGTAGGATCACATTTATGTTCACATGCTTTATAATTAAATCACGAGCAATGGTTTTGCATGAAACTGATTGTGGAAAATTTACCGATGATGTGATTCACTATGAACGCGACAAGGAAATGAAGGAACAAAGTTATGAAACATTTATGTCTAATGTAATTTTATTGCTAGTGAATCATTAAACATGAATCCAGTTCAAAGTACAAAACGGGAAAGATAAAATACGTATAAGATTTTTCGCGAAATTGTCGTCAATACTGTATGATTAATATTTTAAGACGTTGCAATATGTACATACTTTCACCAATCATTATCTTAACTTGATTCGAAATTTTAATTTATTTTATCCATTAATATTTCATTATAGAAAATATTAAATATTAAATATTAGAAAGTATGTGTTACGATATCCCGTAAACGATTATCTGACAATGATTAATCAAAATTATTTTTTCCACGATAGACATTATATTATGACAAACATCGTTATTCGATAATGATATTATTTAAAAATAGAAAAATATTGTTTGAAAACGCAAAATAAAATTTAAATATTATTTAGAAATGATATAATACCTATAGAATAAATAAAATGAAATAATAGAATAAAATTAGTAAAGGAAGAATAATAGCATTTATTATATTTCAAAGAATGAAAAACGCATAAGGAAATAACCGACTAGACCATATGTCTAAACACTCACATGCCCGTCGTTAAAATAATTACACGAACGTCAACAGCGCATACATATTGCGCATATAAATCATTCTTATCTCCTATCAGAACGCCTGTGTCAAAAACATAAATCGATTGTAATCAATCACCTTACATATAAACGTACAATCAATACCAAAAACCTCATGTAAAATGAAGAAAATCGCAGCTCGAATCTAAAATGATCAAAGATAATAGGTACGAACATTGAATTATGAGAAATAAAGACACCAATATCATATTTATCTCGTGCATTAAATCTTTTTCCACACATATACTAAAAAAAAAACGAATCTTTCCCGAGTTTCTGAATCACTATGTCACGGTCTGTAGCAGTCGTTGACATCGCACAGATGGAGCATTACTGTCTTATGTACGTTCAGTTACGCCTCCACTGTAGTATCAGGTAAATGCGAACAACCGAAGCGAACCGAAGCAAAACGAAATATACCGAAGGGACTAACAGCTAAACTGAATTGTACGAAGTATATCGAAAAGACAGTTATGAAAAAAAAGCGCGGCAAAAGTTGCAAAGAATTGTATACAATTCTTTTATAATACTGATATTAGATATATAGTAGATAACTCAGACAAATATTTGAAATTTAATGAAATTTAATAAAGTCAGGTTGAGTTTCAAACAATCAAAAATCTAACATTTTCCTCCTTTGATTCATTTAAAATCTAAAATTTACGAAAAAGATTAGGTTAGGTTAAGTTTGGATTAAGTTTCTCTAATCAAAATTTAACATTTTCTCTCTTCACTTTAATATCTATTGAAAATTTATTAAAAAAGATAGAAGTTAGGCTTAATTGAAATTTGTTAATTACAACATTTCTAAATTAACTGTTCGAATAATTTTCCACCTTGAACCACGATATATCGGCACACGCACACCTACACCATGTCACTGCGTCAGCGATAAAGAGCGCCGATTGGTCGCTTCACCGGTTGCTTCTCTGCTCGGTTCAAGACCTAAAGCGGCTGCGCGGTCCAGGTAAGTAACTATACGTACCTGATCGTACTATGTTTCCCATTTACTGTCATATGTTCTTACGATCCTCTTTACTAGACGCTAAATATCGTTGACCCATCATCTGTAATCCTTCCATCCATAACTCTTTTCTAATAAAATAGAACTGAATAGAACACGGATCCAAACACCGCTACGTGACTCGCTCCTTCGATACGTCAGTGTGCCCTTAATATCGGTCGGTAATGGTCGCGGAAAGTGACACCAGCTTGCACCGCGGTTGCCTCGTTTTATTGTGCGAACGAGCATCGGTGGCTCTCGATCCACAGTCTAGCGGCTGTGTTTCGCTTGACCGGATGCGGTCGTAGCAGGATCGTGTCTTCGACCCGAAGATCGGATCTGGGAGGAATTAGAGGGATGCGTAGGTGTAAAGGCAAGGTTCTTTCCAATGTTTTTGATACAACGAAAAAGTGAAAACCGTATTACTTTGGGAAGAGAACGAAACTCGGTGTTGTCCAGTCCATTGAGCTTGTTTTAATTTTAGTTAATATGGTTCAGTGAGACGATTTAAAAGAGCTTGTGCTGTTCAGTGGTTTATGCGTGTTTAGTTGTGTTGGTTATATTGAAAAAAAGTTATTTCATTAGCGTTGGATTGTAAGTAAGTTGTTCGGTAAAAATTTGGATCAATTTGAAATTGAAATATATTGTTTCATCATTTTTTATTTCAAATTTGATAAAAAAAAATAATTATAATAAAAGTTAGGATAGAAATTAATAGTATATTATATGAATACAATATTAAACAATAACATTTAAAATAATTTAAATTATTTGAAATAATTTCATTTCATAAGTATCAAATTCTAACAGAAATTACACAATGATGAGTATATAAATAGAAAAATGATTTAATTAATTTTATAAATTATATTATATGTATAAGTGCAAGTTAAGGATTTTTTGTTTGAATTGTTTCTTTTGACAAATTTGAAATAAATAAATCGCAAAGTAATTTATTATTGGAATTTTATTTTAAATAATTTGATATTATTTATATTTTTAGATAACATTATTGAAAATAAATTATATTTTATTTCAATTTCAAATTTATCTAAATCTTAAAGTTTACAACTGTTTATAAGTTCCGTTTCAATGAATGGATGTCTAATTGATTGTGTCTCGAATGTTCTTCGATTATAAAAAACATGTTTAATTGATTTGATTGTATGCACGATATTTCAAACATTTATGAATTCTTCATTTGCAGATATATTAA